AGATGAAGGGAAGAATAATTTTGGAGGCTCTTTTTTTTTAATGCCCCCTTTTAGACCAACAACAGAGACTGGAGGAATCACAGGAGAGCTCTGTAAAACCAGAATGGGAGCTGCTGTTCTGGAGTAAAGGACTATTTAAAATGGAAGGCCTGGGAAAAAAAAAAAAAGTCATTTCTGTGATCTCAGGCAGCATAAATTATAGAGAGAAGACATTTGATGAGTTCTATGCTAAGGATTAATTTGCCATTTAAAAATGCAGGGAACAGATGGATCTCTTGGCTAGGACTATATTTGGGAATTACTTCATTTTGCTGCCCACATGCAAATAAAAATACAACTAAAAGTAGAAGTTTTTGTGAGCTTTCACATGGGTAGAAAACACTGAAGAAATGAAAATAAAACAAAAAAGAAAATGTCTGTATGAAATAGGTAAAGTGCCACAGCACCTATTGTGGATCTGCAGTAGGTTGGGGGAGAGAATGTGATTTTACTTTGTTGATCAACTATGGAGAGTAATGCCAGGCTTAAAGAGCAAATTTAAGAGAAAAACAACTCCAAACCAACCCAGCAAAACCCGGATCATATGACAGTGTTTGTCACTTCAGAGTAACTTCTGAGAAAGCACCTTGCTGTAACTTAATTCCATGGAATTTGTTAGGATTTAGCGATTACATCTCCACACATGGTCAGAAGTCCAGGGATTCTCTTTCCCAGAAGCCTGGGCCGGTTCCACCGCACTCACCAGGGATCACAAAGCATGGGTGAGAACTTAATTTGCGAGAAAAAATCCAAAAGTAGGGTGGAATCCAGAGGGAAATGCCTTACACCTCCCTGGACCGCGTACAGCCCCGGCCTCCACCCGGCATGGCAGCAGCTGGGGAAGGAGGAGCAGCGCGAGGCAATCCCGCTGGCACTGAGAGGGCACAGCATGGAAGAAAAGTCCTCTGAGGGACTCCCACAGGCAAAGCCTGTGAGCTTCCTTTATGGGAGCCGGTGCTTTCAAACCCCCAAACCATAGCAGCCACACGTACAGGGTAATTAAGCACCTTCCCATTTTCCATGTGATTTCTCAAAGTTCGAGATAAACTGCGTATTAAAAAGCAAACCCAACATCAACTCCTGAGACAGCTGTTAGATACCATCTCTGTTTCTCCTCTAGCAACACAATGAGCCTTTCTCCTCCCTCTCTCCATCTCAGAAACAAACAAATTGAAAATTTCACCCAGCAAAGCCGCGAGTGGCGCAGGACGTCCTCGGTGTATTCCCAGACTCCGGAACCGGGGTAAGCACAGCTCCAAGCGCGTTCAGAAAACAAAGAGGAACAGAAAATCTGTACTAACCCGACAGCCTCCTTTCTGTGACTATTCATCCTTCACAATCCAACAGGACACATCAGCCAGTAAACAAACATGGAAGGGAGGGACCAACTTCAAAGCAAGTGTGTAAATCTTACATAATTTGAGGGTTTGAGATCTTGCAGCAACCTCTTACCCAACGAGGTGTCAGATGATCCAAGGAGGTCAGACCTGTAGCAGCCACGGTAAGTAGGACACTCTGCACCTCACTCTGCCCAGCCCGGCACTGTCTGTCCACAGGGACCTGGGGCTGGGCATTCTTGGGAATTCACTTTCAGGAGGAGAACAGTGCCTTTCTTTCATGTGTTATCACACCAGAAAAGCTCTCAAATGGATGAAAGATAATAAATACGTGAATGCCCTTAGAGCTGGGATCTGCTGGAGATGTGTTTCAATTATTTTTGATTTTTAAACTGTTTTATGAGGTTCTCTTATTTTTGCCCAGATATAAAACCAATGATTTCTGGACATCTGCAGAGAACACCCCACAACCATGGAAGAAATGAGGATACAGGCCTGAAAACTACTTCCCTCTTGTAGAAAGGATTTTCTAAGAGGTACTTTTCCTGCCATCCTGGATTTCCAAGTGTCTTCTAGCCAAAACCATCGCTTTGAGCTAAATAAAGCAACTGAGCACTGAAGCCCAGACATTTCTCAAAGAGAAGGAATTAAAAGGCTCCACGTCTCGCTTCTCCAGACAGCAGAGTGCACTCACGGCTGGAAGGACAAGGAAACAAAGGAACAGGTCCCCTACCTTTGTTATGGGCCACTTGCGAGGAAGGATCACAGAGAAGTCCAGTTTCTTAATGCCAAAGCTATTTTTGTTCTTATATTAGGCATTTAATGAATACTCATGCAAAGACCTTATTCACACGGCATCTACACAGTGCATGTCTCCCTGCTCCTCCTTTTGGAAACTCAGCTTCCCTTCAAGATTTAAACAAAATTTGGACCACACCCCAACACATATAAATTTTTTCTCCTCTACAGAACACATTGAAGCCCTCACCTCTCTCCCGAGCCTGTGATTTTCCACTCAAGAGCCACGCTGCCTTCTCCTCTCTGAGCAGCATTAGGAGCTGACCACAAGGATCTGCAGAGGGATCCCTAATCTGCTGCTAAGAAGCTTTTGCACTTAAACCCTTGATGCCATCATTAGTGGTTTCGGCACTCACAGCATCACAGCCAGACTCTGGGATGATGAGGGCAAAGCTAAGCGCATCAGGTACACAGTTAATTCAATGGGCAAAGATTAGGGGATGATACTATTTTTTATTTTTTCCATAATAAGGCTTATTTACTATTAATTCCCATCCTGTGACTTTATTGAAGTACAGCATGTTCCACCCGAGATTGTTTGTAAAGTTAACGCCCAAGTCGCATCGCTACGCCTGGAGGAGACCTGTTCTCCCAGCCCTCAGGTTTTACAGGGAAGGTTCTCCTTCTGCATCCACGCCTCTGGCAGAGCCAGAAACATCCTCTTTGAGGAAAAAAAACCCCAAAACAAAACCAACAAATCACTGTATTTGCAAGTTCGAAGGGAGGTGGTGTCTAGGCTTTAAGTGGAACACGTATGGCTGAGCCCAGGCAGTGGCTGGATTTTTTGTTTGATCACTGTAATGACTGCTATTTTTTCAAGAAGCGTTCAATACAGCCTTCCTCTTCTGCTATTCATCCCTCCATGTGAATATTCATCAGAAATTATTAAACTGCCCTTTATTCCCAAGGTCTGTGTGATGGGGATGATGCTCCCCCCCAGCTCTGGTGCCTGTGTCTCCATCACCGCTGCAGATAAGCACTTCCAGGCTGCAATCCTCTAATCTATTTTAGCCATGATTCACATCCGAGCTGTGTGTCTCCCAAGGAAAGGCGAATCTGGACTGCTCATGCAGAGGGAGGCAGCCACCACAGCCCACGGCACCACACGTTTCCCTGTTTTCCTTGGCTTTCTCGGGGCTGGTTTCCCCTTGCTCCCCCAGCGTGCAGCAGGAAGGGAACACATTTCTCTTCCTGCCTCCAGGATCCCTCAGACTAAGCCTGGCTTCTGAGCAGTAACACGGGCAGCTTCAACTTCCCTGACCTCAGCTAATTCTTTCCTTCCCTCAGCCTACTCAAGATGATTAAGCAAAATACTTGGAAGGAAATCAAAGCCTTAAAAATGCAATTAGAAGTGACCATTTTGTTAATACGCACACGCACAACCCCAAAGTCAAACCCAATCCAACAGCACCTGACCTTTGGGAAAACAGCAATTTTTAGCAGCTCCCATGGACTTAAGGAACAGCCCAAAGTCTCCCACAACACTGGTGGGAACAGTGCTGTCCACATAGCTCAGGTTTTTCCCACTATTCCTAAATAAGGAGGTTAAGAAGACATGAAATTGCAAATTCTCACACCAGACACTGGCTCCCGCAGACCTACAGCTGTCCAGGGGTGACTTAAAAATATCATTTATAATACACATCCTTCCACAGACCCAGATCTTTCTCCCCCAGCTGAGGAAAAAGCAAGTTCACCGGAGGGTCTAGAATCAGCTGCCACAAATCCTCATACTCTCCAGCAAAGATTCTGATCTCATTGCAAGAAACCTTTAAAGCATTGAAATAATAATAATGTCTTTAACAACAATGAAGTTGTTTGAAATCATCAAAACAGTTATCATAGTAATAAAACAGAAATATTTTTCTAGGGCAATTTCCACTTCACCCATCCACAACATGATATATTTTTAAGACTCCTTTCCTGAAATTAACTTGAAAAAAGGTGGTTTTTTTTTTCCTCTGCCTGTAAAGAATCAAATGCACTTTGAGAAAGCAGCAGTTGAGCTTCTGGGCCCTGACAGAGAAACAAAGGCTGACAGCCCAGATTTAGATAAACACCTACTTCTGCACATTTAGGAAGAGGCTTAATTGCTTTTCACTTAGAGCCAGCAATTACCAACTATTACTGGGAGTGCAGCAGTGGTGGGGGTATTAATTGCAGCCAAATGTCCACTCTTTTTGGGCAGCTCATGCCAAGAAAATTAAATACTAAATAAAAAAGAAATTAAACCCCCTCTTAGTTATAACGTTTTAAAGTATTTTATTGTCTGTTTATATGTAAGGGGGGGGAGGTGGGGGTAGGCTCTCCCAGAGGGGCCAACAAAGATAGAATTTCTATTTAATTTTGAAATTGTGTCAAATCACGGCAGAGGTGGCATTAGGATGTTGGGGCAGGCTTCAAAATCGCCCTTTTGGGGGATTTTTGGGGCTGTATCCTCCAGCGAGGAAAACAGTGCTTAACTTCTAGAGCGAGCAGAGCATTTAAGGTTTAAAACAAATAAATAAACAACCTAAAATAGGTTGAGAGGGAAAGAGGGTGGTTCTCCCGCCTCAGAGCCGGCTCTGACACAGCCGCTGCTACTTCATTTCTCTGCGCTGTGTGAGGGGAAAACCTTCACGCAGGAGCGAGAGCTGCTCCAGTGATAAGGTGGGGGAGGGATTCTATATATTTTTTTTTTATTTAAAAGGCTTTTTTTGTGGCAATGGCGGTGTTTTTCCGCGGGGCCCGGGCGGCCCCGCCCCGGGGGCGGCGCGGCAGCCCCGGCCGGCTCCCGCCGGCTCAGACCGGTTCTCAGCGCAAACAACCGCCCCCCGCCCGCCGGGGCACCACGGCGGCGAACCCCCGCTTATTCCTCCAGCAACACCCGCTTTTCCTGCAGCAACACCCGCTTTTCCTGCAGAAACACCCGCTCTCCCCCCACAAAACACCCGCTTCTCCCTCAGAAACACCCGCTCTCCCCGCCCCCCTGAAACAACCGGGTGAGGCGACTCTGCGGCCGCGCCGCCATTACAGCGGCGGGCGCGCTCCGCCGGCTGTGAGGCGAGAGAAAGCGGCGGGGTTTTCGGAGCGAGATAAAAATCTTATTATGCAACGCACATTTTTCATAGATTATTGCCGAGTCCAGGGCTAAGGTAATGCGGGCTGTCAGCAGCTGGGGCGAGAGGCTGAGGGACAAGCGGGCTGCGGCCGCTCCCTGCCAAGGGCGCCGAGGCACCATTTCTTCACCATCCGTGAGGAGAACTTTGATATATCACACGTTATTTTTTTTTTTTTTTCCACAGAAGGATCTATTTATGTGGTTACACATGCACAGGTACGTCTTTTTCGGCATATCTCGAGTATAAAGGTTTGCTTTCTGTATTATAATCTCTCCAAAGCCATCTGAAAACGTTCTGCCTGTGCTCAATCTCAAGAAACCCGATACAGTCCCAAGGGTAAAAAAAGCCACGTTTAAAGGATGGTCTCGGTTATATTTAGCTGAGCAGCAGCGCAGGCTGACACGAGCAGAAACACAAGGAAGAACAAAGTGAAAACGCTCGACAGTTGTTAACAAAAACCTGCGAGTATCTGAGGTGGATTTTTTTCTAAATTTTCCTTTCCCTAATTCACATTTTGCCGCGCAGAGAGAACATTAAAGCAGCATATGGGTTTATGTGAACAAAAGGTAAGGATGAGGTGTTTCACCTGACTCTTGACAGGATTTACTGTTGCCTTTGTGCAATGGAAAAGGCCTCCTACTCTAAGAAATTCTTTAATTTTCTTTTATAAATCTTAACCTAATTCTTTTCCCATACAAACACGAGCCTGCTCAACCCTGTCGTTCTACCAGAAGAGATTAAAATTTTTCAGCTCATCTCTACAGTACTAAATGTATGTAAGAATTATTTAACCTCGACAAAAGCCATCTCACAGAGGCTTCAATAAAGACTAAACAGCTACATTTAACCCCATTGTTCCTGATTTTTCATCTGTCCTCAGCACAGGCATCTCCAAACCCACTCAAAATCCCAAATCCCAGCTAAATCACTGATTCATCACTTCTGGCAGCAAACGACACTGGAAGGAGGAGATGAAGACAATGGTAGAGAAAGGTTTGCATTATGTAATGAAACTAAAACTCACTTTTTTCTACTTTCACTTCAGTTGTTGAAACAGGGTAGGAAAGTCCCTGACTAAATAAAATACACAGGAGGTTTCAGGGAGCCTGTTTTTCCCATGATTAAAATTCTCTTGGCAGTATTTTTCATCAGTTTATTTCAATATTAAGACACACACTTATTCCATTCCAATGGTAATTCCTTGCTCCAGAAAGAATTTCATCACAGAGAAATCTAAAATTAAAACCAATCTCTAATTACCTTCTGCCTTGCCCACTTGTCACGAGAACTTTAAATACAGCTATCAGAATTACAAAAAAAAATTCCCTTTTCAAATATCTCTAAGTGCAACTTCTTCCTGTTTCTTGATTTCAGGAAGACTGGAATAACTGTACTCACATAGATCTTGGTGAATATAAAACCAGTGTTGTATCTAAGCTGAAAATGCTCTTTTAATTTCCCAATATCTATTTCATATTACAAGCTATAGAGAAATAGTCATCTAAGTAATTATTCATCCAACTCCAGCATCCTGGATATGAGACAACCAAACAAACACTCTTAAAAATAAATTAAAGGCAACTACATTACACATTATAGGAAATTATTCATTTAACTGGTAAATCCCTCAGCATCCTCCACATCAGACAACTGAATAAACACTCTTAAAAAATAAATTAAAGGCCAAGGGAAACCTCAGGTCGCTTATCTGCAGATGGAACACGTGGGGTGTTCAGGCTTTCACAGCCTGAACATCACCTGCAGGAAATCAAACACTTCTGCCTGGGTTTTTGTAAATGAATTTGAACCCCATCCCAACAATTTTTAGGAGTGAAATGCTCTGCTCTCAGCACTGGGTGGTTCAGCACTGCTGCAGCAAAGCTTTAAGAATAATCACTAACACATGGAGCAGCAAGAGACATGTCAGGCCATCTGACGTTACAAAACTGAATCAAAAAGCCCAGAAATTATTTTTAGTGCATTAGAGCACCTCAACAAGCAGCCTAGAAAAGAGCTTTTGCTACAAAAGAAAAAACCTAAAAGCAGGGAGGATGTTTCCAGGAGGCTGGGCAGGGCACAAACAAAATCTTGTTTGCTTCCTATGGGATCACCCAGCTTCCATCCAGAGCCAGCCTCTTCCATGACACAGTACAGAAAATATGTTTGCTAATGTACCATTTGTGGTGTGTGTCTGAATCACCAGAATGGAGACAATGAAGCTTCTGGTGGTGGCAAATTATCATTTTCAAGGGCTTTTTTATTCTTTCAAGGTGATAAAAAAATTCCACCAACCCTTTTCCACTACATAGGTGGGGAATGAGCAATCTTACACTAAGAAGACTTCAAAACACAAATTCCTCCTCAAATCCACGCAGGAACCATCCACATCCACCAGCTTCCTCACCTCAGCAGGCAACTTCTGAGAGGCCACAAAACACCCCAAATAAAGCCTGGCTTCAGAGAATACTGGGTATTTTTAATGTGTTCTTTCTGGTTTTAGTTTCTAAATTACTCCCTGCAGCACCATTACCTGCAAAGGCCTCCAAATAGCAATTTGAAGCAAAGTTCAGTGGCAATCCAACACAACAAACTCTGAACCCCTGACAAGATAAAGGCTTTTTGGGTTGTTTTTTAATTTTTAAGCAAGCAGTGTTTCTTCAGTATTGTCAAGGACAATCAGCTCCATTTAATCATTGTTATGAACTTCACACAATTCTTGAAAACCACAAGCAAGGAAACCCAGACTTCTCCTTCAGCACCTTTGTGCTTTTTCACAGCTCCGGAAGGACAAAGTTCCCAGCAGTGCTGAACACCCACAGTGTGCCCCAAACACCCCCCAGGGCAGGAACACAGCTCTGCCAGCTGAGACCAACAGGACCACACTTCAGTCACCAAAGTCTTACATTTCAGAAGAATGCAGTGTCATAAAGACCTTAATAATACCATGGCCCCTCAAAATTGGCCATTTCCATTTATTAAAAAACCATAAGAGAATCTCTGGCTTGCTGCAATCCTCGAGACCATGGAAACTGCAGGCAATAATTATTCTCCAGACAAAAGAAACTGGACATATCACACAGCAAGTGGGAGCACCAAACCAGAGAAAAGGGAGTGAGGCTGCTTTTGCTCACCAACAGTGTATGAGGAGCTTAATATTTACATGGCTAAATTTCAACTGTGTTGAAAATTAAACATTTGTGCTTTGAAAGACTTCAAGGCCAGGTGGGGTTTTGCTTCCCAAAGTAAAGAGAGGGTTAAATGTTTATTATTATCTAACTGATTGCTAAGAAACATGTAAAACTCTTTTCTGATCCTTCAAAATTAAATATACAATCCACCAGATTCTATTACTTGCTCGACTGAGTTTGATTTTATTGTATTAATAAGAAAAAAATGTTTTATTTCCTCCCAGAGTATCATCTACTTTTCCATTACTACAACTAGAAATTGCCAAGAAAATGAAATGCTCAAGCACAGCAGACGCTGCTTTTCTTCTCATTAAATCTTAAAACTTGGTTCCAGTGGGATCATATTTAGTCCTCTCAAATTCAGAACAGGATTTCATCCTGCCTCGACATCCCAACAATGACATTTTATAAATATTACGAGTTTCTTGGACGCCTTTCTCATTCCACAAGGAGCAGAGAAGCACCAGTAAAAATTTTTTCTTCTTCCCCTTCTTGAGATTTTTTTTTAAACCTTAAATGTAACCAGCCCTCCTTTCAATCCATTTTCTCTAGGATTTTTTTGAGAACCTCTGGAAGTCTCACAGATTTTTCTGAGATGTAATAAGTGTGAAAAATCTTTGTCAAAGGATTGTCTTTATTCAAGCATTAAGCTCTCATTGAGAGAGGTGTTGGAAATAAACAAGTGCTTAAAAACAGCCTAAAAGTTGTCTTAAATATTCACCTGCTCTCCAGCTGAGACAGGACCTGGATTTCTAAATCCAAGAGGAGAAAACAATAATTAAAAGAAGTAAATAAATCCTTGCATGATTCTTTAGACATGAGGGGGTGGGGCAATCAGAAGAGGAGACACTGATTTCCTCATCTTCTGTAGGCCCTCCGTGGGTGTCAGCCCATCTCACCCTTCCAGAAGGTTCAACATTCAAGGTAAGACTTTGTGAGAATAATCCCCTTGGTCAGAGAGTTCTGACAGTGGTAAAATTCCATTCACAGTGATAAACACAGAACCCTAGACAAGGTTGGAAGGGACCTTAAAGTTCACCTAATTCCACCCCCTGCCGTGGCAGGGACACCTTCCCCTGTCCCAGGCTGCTCCAAGCCCTGTCCAGCCTGGCCTTGGGCACCTCCAGGGATCCAGGGGCAGCCCCAGCTGCTCTGGGCACCTGTGCCAGGGCCTGCCCACCCTGCCAGGGAGGAATTCCTTCCCCATATCCCAGCTAATGCTGTCCTTTGGCAGTGGGAACCATTCCCCCTTGTCCTGTCACGCCAGGCGTTTGCGAAATCGAACACTCTACTGATACACTTATTTACTTAATGAATATTTTCAGTTTTAGAAAAGACCTGGTATGCAGAGGAAACGCTGCCAACTCTGCAAACCCTCCTAAGGAGCAGAGCTCTTCGCCAAAGAGCATAAAATATTTATGGGTGCAACCGTAGCTTTGTGGCTTCCACACTCTTAGGGTGATTTCACTCTTAAAAAGCCAAATATCAGAGAGGCACTTCAACATGAATTTTAAAATTATTAGAAGAAATCAGTGATTTTCTAACACCTTCTTTTCTCCCCCATAGGTTTTTTGTAAAGCCATGCAAATACAGAGTTATTGCAGAACCAAGGAAACGCATCCCCAGGAATTGCAAACTTGGATTATTTTCTTTTAATTCTTCCAAGTCTACAAATTTTGCTGTGAGGCAGCAGGGCGAGAAATGGGAAGGCGACAAATCAACCTTGTGAATGTCAGCAGTGTCAGTGAACAAGAAGAAACAGAACAATACCACTCATCATTTCCCAAAGTATATTGAAGTGTGGTCTGTAAAAAGTAGCTGACCTTAAAATTTGCTTTTTTTCTCACTGAAGGAAATAAGTTCTGCACACACTGCATTCTCCAGACACACAGGCAGTGAGGTGGTGTGTCTGTACATCCCTGCTCTGCCCAGCCACCATCTTACAGATGCACCATGGATCCACCATGCCTGCATGTTTTTCTCTCAAATGATATATAAAAAACTATTTAACCAGTGCAAGAGAATGTCATTATCTTCTACATCTGCTTGAAATTCATTGTTGCATTTCTATTTCCATTACCTCTCGCTCGCAACAATGGAATTTTGAAAGCTTTTTCAGAATCTGGCACAGAAATGTGTCTCTATTTTGGTTCTTGGATCCATGGATCCACCACGGAAAACAACAAACAGCACGAGCACTGCCCTTGGAACCCTCAGTGCCAACTGAGCCTTTTGACATTTCACCTCACTTCACTTCTACCTCAGCGACCAAAGCTCTGCCATGGAACAACTCCTCACGCTCACACGCCAGCAGAGCACCCGCACAGCCCACGGCACAGGGACCTACCTGTCGCTGCTGGTACTGCTGCTGCTGCTGAGGGAGTCGCTGCTGGAGGATCTGCTCCGGGAGCCGCTGCCGCTGGGGGAGCGGGCGGGCCGGGCGGCCTGGCTGGCCAGGCGCTGCGGGGATTGCGTCCTGGACTGCGACGAGTGCGGCGAGCGGCTCCGGCTGTGCTGGTAGTTCCGCTCCGGCCTTCTGCCTCGTACCTCCCGTGTAATGTCATCCCTGTAGATATCCCTGTGTACCACACTGGGCAATGTAAACTGCTCCCGGGCCCTAGGTTCGTATCGGGGGTCGTGAGCGTCAAAGCGGTTTGGACTTCGGCTCCGAGAAGTGTAATAGAGCCCGTGTTGTAAGGTCCGCTCCCGAGGGTCTCTATAGTAATCCTGATCGTAATGTCTCGTCCGATCAAATCCGCCCGTCCCCCGCTCATGGTGTCCATAGGCACTATGTTCATAAGCACGCTCCCTGTTATCTGAAGCCCTGCATTTGGGAAGGGGGAAAAATATCGCATCAGAAAGGGGCAGGCACGACCAGAAGCAAATCATGCAAACATTCATGGCAGCACTCGACTTATTGTTGCAACTGCTTCTCTACTAACCAGCAATAACCTATCAAGCAAACAATGACAAACTTCGAAACATTTTACTTGACTCCAAAGTTATATTTGTATACAATCAAGCTGAGCAATCATTTTGGTTTAATCACAATATGGGGCTTTCATGACCAGCAACTTGCCTTCACAGGAAAAAAAATTCTGCTTTCCCATGCACAATCCTCATTTCAAATGTTCTTTTTCTTTTAAATTCTGTAAACAAGAAAAACTTCATGGTTGTGGACATCATCATTAACTTCTCCTTTTTCTCTCCATTTTTGCTTAAGAGCTTCAAAAAAATTTTTTTCCAAAATTGGGTAATTACTGGAGCTCTTGTAATTATCCTTCTGCAAAAATGGTATCACAAATTGGGCTGTAGCCATGAAAGCCTCCATGCAAAGCATGACCCATAGGTAAGAAGCTGCTTTCAAAAGGGGTGGCATAACCCATAGAGATTTCCCAGAAAATTAGGGGATTTCTTGTTGCTGCTCTAAAATATTTTACCCTCTTAGAGGGAATTTTTGCTTTGACCAGATTGCTACAATCATTCATTGTAAAAGTTATGGACTAAAGAAACATCTCCATTAGTAATGCTGGAACTGCAAGGATGCAAGTCCCCAGAACATACTAAGACCCTACACATGGACTGGGAATCCAATTTTTAGGCAGTGTTTTTGTTTGGACTGCTGTAATCGCAGAATTTCTATCTGCACAAGCTGCTGCTTTCCAGCAGCTACAGTCCAGTTCATTTCAGTGTTTTGAACATTTTAAATTGAGAAAGGCTCAGTGATGTCCTGAGTTAGTGTGATCTCTCAAATAAAGAGATTGACAGATAAAGGAACACTACAAATAGTTGAGTATTCCAATTTAAACAAGTACCAGGATGGTACATCTTAGTTACATCTACAAAATGGAAGATTCAGAATGGTTACTTTGAACATTTAAAAAATACTTCTAAAATTCTAAATATGTCAGGGTAGCCAAAATTAATTTAAAAATTAATTATCCATCTTACAAAGGACATTTCAACCTTTTTTTTCAGCCTTCTCTCTCAGATTCTTCCTTTAGAATGTGTTATGAGTCACTTCAGTCTCCTGAATCCTGATAACCCAATTCTGCCTTGTGCCTCCTCCTCCTCTCCTGCGTCACAGCTCTAGTTCGAATGGCAGAAATATTTCAGGGATCTTTTATAAACTGAAAATGGGATTTGAATCTTTTTGTGATTAGCATCTCAGGAAGTTCCTTCCATTCCTTCTCCAATGAATCACTAGATCCTTAATCCTCTCAATATATTCACTCTGTTGTTAAATTGTAACTCATATCAAGCTTTCTATAGGGCTCTCTCACATCTTGCCTGCATTTTTTTCTCTCAAATGATATATAAAAAACTATTTAACCAGTGCAAGAGAATGTCATTATCTTCTACATCTGCTTGAAATTCATTGTTGCGTTTCTATTTCCATTACCTCTTGCTCGCAACAATGGAATTTTGAAAGCTTTTTCAGAATCTGGCACAGAAATGTGTCTCTGTTTTGGTTCTTTTTTCCCCCTTTTGAAGGACCAAGATCAACAATTTTACAAACTATTGCATTTAGCATCCTACAAAGTGTTAATCAGTGAGAGCTGATTTAATGAGGTCAGAGAAAAAGCAGTATTTTCTAGCAGGTTACTGCTACAGAGCTGACAGAAAGAACAAATCCTTATCCATGAGAAGGACACAAGACAGACAGAGGAAGCAGAGCTGAACAGCTACTGGCTACAGTGCTTTCTTCATTTATCTATTAGTACTAAGTGCTACTGGAGTTAGTGGAAAGAGAGGGTTTGACTTGGGTTAGGAGAGGGGCTAATATACACAGGGCAGGACATACCAACCTTTTCCAAGTGTGGAAACACGACCTATATTCCCAATTAAATCTAGGGAGAGAATTGTGAACATAACTTCCCCAATTTTGGCCCCTCTTACAGGGGTAATCCACCTTCTTAATGGGCAAGGGTGTCAAATGATATTTTAGATGAACCAACAAGAAAAAAAATTCTTAGTGACAAGACACAAAAAAAAATTCCACTGGACGGAAGTAGTCCCAGACTGAAACCGTAACTCTGAAACCCCCAGACTTCTTTCTTGAGACAGAAGGCACTTAAATAGATCCATAATTTTAATTTCCAGCCCTAAGTCTGAATCAAGCAGCTGGTAGAAGATCCCCCGAGGCCCGAGGGCCCTCACGCTGCTGCCAGCAGGCATCCTCTGGCCGCCTTGGTAACCATCCAGCCCAGTCACTTCTCACTGGTGTATCCACAAACGGGTATTAGCACCACGTCCTTAAAGCTAAAGTATGTTTAATGTGGAGCAGCAGAGCTTTTTAAGAGGCTAGATAGTAATCCACTCCCCATGGCTACTGGCGTCTTGACTGTATACCATCCAATAAATTCAAGGCAGTAGTTCTTATCCCAGCTTTAAAAAAAAATAAACTATAATTTCCAAAATTTAGTAATGTCCGTCATCTCTTTTTGCCAATACCATCAGAAAGAATAATCCCAATAACTTGGAAATGATGTAGATCCAAAATGGAACCATCACAAGCTGCCTTCGGTCTTCTCCATCCAAGCGTTATTTCCATGGCTAAGAGTTGTCGGTAGAATCCAAGGGGCCGCATCATTAAAGTCTACTCTGAATTTTGTGGTGACAATCCAATTAACATACCCGCTGCGTATAGTGAGAACTGAGAGCTAGGCATCAAGCTTTCACCGAATTCTACGTTCTAGTATTCCGAAGATACTCCACAGAGAACTTCACCACATGTTGTAGAGTAAGATAGCTCCATCTGGCAGCAGGGATACATCCA